TGGCTCCGAACAAACCTCATAATATTATATCTAAGAATGAGTTATTAGAAATACCATTTAAAATGTGCGAATTAACAAAGTGTTTAAAGAAAAAAGATACTGCGCCAGGTAGTGATAAGATAACATATTCTATGATTTATCATTTACCCTATGTAGGTAAGGTCTTTTTACTCAATCTATTTAATGCTATTTTTGCAACGGGCACAATTCCAGATCAATGGCGAAATGTACTAATTATTCCTATTCCAAAGGCATCCTCCGATAATAATAACTCGGATATTAAACTTAGACCTATATCACTGATGTCGTGTTTGTGTAAAATTTTCCATAATATGATATTAAAAAGAATGGAATGGCATGTAGAAAGAAACTTAATTTTGTCTCGCAATACCACTGGGTTCCGTAGGGGGCATTCATGCTTAGATAACTTAACTAGACTAATAACATACATTCAAATTGGATTTACGAAGAAATTATCGACATTAGCTTGTTTTTTGGATCTAGAAAACGCATATAATAACGTACTTACAGAGAAATTAATCAAAAAATTGGACGAACTAAATTTTGGCTTTCGTATTTGTAATTATGTGTCATCATTTTTGAGTGCGCGATGTTTATCTATTAGGGACAGATTTCTAAATGAGATCACTAGCTCCAGGTGGACTAGTATGGGCCTGGCGCAGGGAGATCCTATCTCCCCGTTACTATTTAATTTAGCAACGTATGATATAATATGTTCAATTGATGAAGATCTTGATGTCAAAGTATCTCAATATGCAGATGACCTAGTTTTCTTCATGAGTCATAAATCGATAAACACTTGTAAAGATAACTTGGAAATAGTATTAGAATCGGTGATAGATAAGCTGAAATATATTGGTCTTGAGATCTCATCAAGCAAGTCTAAAATATGCATATTTAGTCGGAAACGAACGGAACCAAATATTAATTTACTAATTAAGGGTAAACATATACCGGCTGTAAAAGTGATCAAATATTTAGGCGTGTGGCTGGATAAATCATTACTGTGGAGTAGGCATATAAATGAAACCGTGCAGAAAACTTCAAAAAATTTGAATTTACTTAAAATTTTAACGGGTCCGTCGTGGGGCGTGCACCCCAAACATCTGCGGAATTTATACATATCGCTGATAAGAAGTAGGATTGATTACGGATCATTTATTTACGACTGTAGTGCAAAATCTAACCTAGTTAAATTGGATAGAATACAAAACCAGGCCCTTAGAATTATTGGTGGTTATATTAAAACTACCCCCATACATGTTATGGAGGCCGAATTGGCTATACACCCGTTACAGATTAGAAGACTATATCTCGCCTATAAATACTACACTAAATGTATGTCATGGACTCATAATGTCACAACGAAGTTAATACAGGATTTAACGTCATTAGAACAAAACCGGTATTGGAGGAACAAAAAACTGCCGGTACTTTGTGCAGTCTACAAACAATGTAAATTATATGATATCCATTCTTCTAATCCATTGGACATGTTTTCGTTGGCGACTTGGACGACATTTATAGACGATAAAGAGATTATAGAATGTAATTTAGATAGTGTTAAGAAAAGTAAAAGAAGCATAGAACCATCAAATATTCGTTTCGAGGTTGTCAAAGAATTAATTGAAAAATATGACGGTTGGCAAAAAATTTTTACGGATGGTTCTAAGAACAATATTTTCCAGGGTGCTGCATATTATGATATGAGTCGCAAAATAGCTCATAAGTTAAAAATTACTAATTGTAATGCATCGATTATGACGTTGGAGCTCATTGCAATTCTGGAAGCAATGAATAATATTAACAATACGAATTGTAATAATAAAATAGTAATACTGACTGATAGTAGAAGTGCTTTACAGCATTTGGCTCGTTGCGCCTCTGGTTTCAGAGGTGCATCGCTAGCTTATGCAATATTAAAGCAAATATATAACATGAAAAACCAGAGTCTGGTTCTAAAGCTGCAATGGGTTCCATCTTATATTGGTCTAAGCGGTAACGAGGAAGCTGACAGGTTGGCAAAATTAGCAATCACAGATGGGATTGTGTACAATGTAAAATTATTTTATAGTGAATACCTCTCTGCAGTAAAAATGAAATGTAAAAATTTATTTAGCGAATATTTCGATGAAAGGAGCAAAGAGAAAGGAATCTGGTACAATACAATACAAAGTCAGCCTCCTCAAATACCATGGTTCATGGATACTAAAATATCTAGAAACATGATAGTAATAGCAAATAGATTACGTTCAGGACATTATCCATCAAAAAAAATTGCCTTTTTGATGAAAAAGCAAGATTCCCCAAATTGTGAAATATGTGGCATTATTGATGATGTTCAACACATGATAGTAGAATGTAGCAAATATAATGCAGGCCGAGAATCACTGATGCGTGAATTTAAATTGAATGCGTTAGATATTGGATGTTTTTCATCTATTCTAGCGAATCCCACTTCGTCTGCAGCCATTGCCATATATAAGATCTTCATGCATCAGTGATACTTTGATCAATTTAGTTAATTAAGTATGTTAGATGTAAGAAAATATGTCCTAACGGGGCTGACATGTTCCTAAACGAAAAGTCCCTAAAACCATAGATAATAAAAAAAAAAAAAAAAACCATTAAAAAATTTAATTGCAGTATGTGAACAATTGGTATTCTTCAATTCTTAAACTCGAAATCTGACGAGCGTCCTCGAAATCTATCGAACATCCTCGATCGTTTAAGAGCGTCCTCGATTGTTTTCGAGCGTCCTCGAATTCTATCGAGAGTTCTCTATCGTTTTCGAGCGTCCTCGATTGTTTTCGAGCGTCCTCGAATTCTATCGAGAGTTCTCGATCGTTTTCGAGCGTCCTCGATTGTTTTCGAGCGTCCTCGAATTCTATCGAGAGTTCTCGATCGTTTTCGAGCGTCCTCGATCGTTTTCGAGCGTCCTCGATTGTTTTCGAGCGTCCTCGATTGTTTTCGAGCATCCTGAAAACTAAAGAGAGTCCTCGATCGTTTTCGAGCGTCCTCGAAATCTATCGGGCGTCCTCGAAATCTATCGAGCGTCCTCGATTGTTTTCGAGCGTCCTCGAAATCTATCGAGAGTTCTCGATCGTTTTCGAGCGTCCTCGATCGTTTTCGAGCGTCCTCGATCGTTTTCGAGCGTCCTCGAAATCTATCGGGCGTCCTCGATTGTTTTCGAGCGTCCTCGAAATCTATCGGGCGTCCTCGATTGTTTTCGAGCGTCCTCGAAATCTATCGAGAGTTCTCGATCGTTTTCGGGCGTCCTCGATCGTTTTCGAACATCCTCGATTGTTTTCGAGCGTCCTCGAAATCTATCGAGAGTTCTCGATCGTTTTCGAGTGTCCTCGATCGTTTTCGAGCATCCTCGATTGTTTTCGAGCGTCCTCGAAATCTATCGGGCGTCCTCGAAATCTATCGAGCGTCCTCGAAATCAATCGAGCGTCCTCGATTGTTTTCGAGCGTCCTCGAATTCTATCGAGAGTTCTCGATCGTTTTCGAGCGTCCTCGATCGTTTTCGAGCATCCTCGATTGTTTTCGAGCGTCCTCGAAATCTATCGGGCGTCCTCGAAATCTATCGAGAGTTCTCGATCGTTTTCGAGCGTCCTCGATCGTTTTCGAGCGTCCTCGATCGTTTTCGAGCGTCCTCGAAATCTATCGGGCGTCCTCGAAATCTATCGAGCGTCCTCGAAATCAATCGAGCGTCCTCGAAATCTATCGGGCGTCCTCGAAATCTATAGAGCGTCCTCGAAATCAATCGAGCGTCCTCGATTGTTTTCGAGCGTCCTCGAAATCTATCGAGGGTTCTCGATCGTTTTCGAGCGTCCTCGATCGTTTTCGAGCATCCTCGATTATTTTCGAGCGTCCTCGAAATCTATCGAGAGTTCTCGATCGTTTTCGAGCGTCCTCGATCGTTTTCGAGCGTCCTCGATCGTTTTCGAGCATCCTCGATTGTTTTCGAGCGTCCTCGAAATCTATCGGGCGTCCTCGAAATCTATCGAGCGTCCTCGAAATCTATCGAGCGTCCTCGAAATCAATCGAGCGTACTCGATCGTTTTCGAGCGTCCTCGAAATCTATCGGGCGTCCTCGAAATCTATCGAGCGTCCTCGAAATCAATCGAGCGTCCTCGATTGTTTTCGAGCGTCCTCGAAATCTATCGATCGTCCTCGAAATCAATCGAGCGCCCTCGATTGTTTTCGAGCGTCCTCGAAATCTATCGAGCGTCCTCGATCGTTTTCGAGCGTCCTCGAAATCTATCGGGCGTCCTCGAAATCTATCTAGCGTCCTTGAAATCAATCGAGCGTACTCGATCGTTTTCGAGCGTCCTCGAAATCTATCGGGCGTCCTCGAAATCTATCGAGCGTCCTCGAAATCAATCGAGAGTTCTCGATCGTTTTCGAGCGTCCTCGAAATCTATCGAGCGTCCTCGAAATCTATCGAGAGTTCTCGATCGTTTTCGAGCGTCCTCGATCGTTTTCGAGCGTCCTCGATCGTTTTCGAGCGTCCTCGATCGTTTTCGAGCGTCCTCGATCGTTTCGAGCATCCTCGATTGTTTTCGAGCGTCCTCGAAATCTATCGAGAGTCCTCGATCGTTTTCGAGCGTCCTCGAAATCTATCGGGCGGCCTCGAAATTTATCGAGCGTCCTCGAAATCAATCGAGCGTCCTCAATCGTTTTCGAGTGCCCTCCATTGTTTTCGAGCGTTCTCGAAATCTATCGAGAGTCCTCGATCGTTTTCGAGCGTCCTCGAAATCTATCGGGCGTCCTCGAAATCTATTGAGCGTCCTCGAAATCAATCGAGCGTCCTCGATCGTTTTCGGGCGTCCTCGAAATCAAGCGAGCGTTCTCGATCTCAATCTGGAAAATAATTTGGGGCAATGGGACCTCCACTCCTTTGTTGCCCCGAGGCCTCTGGACCCCTAAATCCGGCCCTGAACATAGTGTACTTGTAACAGTGGGAAACTTACCTGAGATTGTACGCAATGCCAATAAGGTCTGAGGTCTATGCTCCTATACAGTATGCAGTCAGAAGCGAGTCTGTTGAAATGCCTGTTGACTTGAGCGCATCGGCAGAGTGACTGGATGTCCAAGTACTTCATCACACAGAGTGTGGTCTCATCCTGAAATAGAGAAAAATAGAGGTGTTTATTTTTCAAATGATTAAAATAATAGTATAGCAGATATGGGCAATAGCTGCCGATGTAAACACGAATTAAATTTAACAACAAACTTTTTATACTCGTATATAGACTTAGTGCTAATTAAGATAATTTCTGAAATCATATAACTATACGTATACAAAGATACCTCGTTGGCCGAGTGGTCGCAAGTGCGACTCAAGGGGCAAGGGGTCTCGGGTTCGATTCCCGGGTCGGGCAAAGTATTACTGGGTTTTTAAAAAATTCTTAGTAGTAGCACGGCGTCTGAAATTGTGCCCGGTATATGGCAATAGGCTCACCTCCTATTACATGGGACTCATAACATAAATAGTGAAAAGTGGGTGTTATATTGTACAGTGGTACCTATAATGTGCACCTCTGCCTACCCCTTCGGGGATAAAAATCGTGATGTTATGTTATGTACAAAGATACTGTATGTAAACTTATTAATGACTCAGAAATTAGTGTAAATTACGGAAAAAAAAACTCAATAATTAATATTATGTGGTAAATAGGCATAATAACCAATAATAGATCTAGAATTCTAGAACAATTGTATTGCATTTTTACCAATAGCTACTGATTCCATAATGGCTATATTTCTACGACTTTATTTTGCCAATGAATCGAGTAGTGTTTATTTTAACATAATGTACGCTTTCAAATAGGTACTTCATAACATTGTCATGATAACAAAGAAACCCAAACGAACACCAGGGCCTCTAGCCAAACGCCACTTTAGCGCTTGTCTACAGTGAGAGTAGATATCAAAATGTATGGGGATGACACTGACAAGTGTCAAAATTTACGTCAATTCCATATAATTTGGTTTTCTATTCTACATGTAGACAAGCGCTAAATGGCATTTGGCTACAGCTGCAGGTTATCTCAGTTATACAAAAACAAAACTTAGTTTTAGTATAAATTATCTAACTCGTTGTAATCAACTTTAATAACTAACCAATAATAATTATTAAAAAACCACACTTTTTCACACATTTTCAAGTCACTTTTATGCTGGGTTCTATGGCGAATCGAAGATATTTGGGATAGGCAAAGTATCTAATAGACCTCAGTTTTATTTATTAACACATAAGACAAATGACATCTATTCACCAACCGGGCAATAAATGACATAACAGTAGGTGTAATACATAAGAATATTTTAATTATGCCATTGTTAACCTCCTATAAAGGAAGCTGATAACGAATTCGACCTACTTTATCGTCGTCGTTTTGATGTAACAAAATTGTTTTTTTTTTTACTTTTTATTTTAATTTAAGTGACGTGATGTGATTGAATGATTTGTACGCTACATTATAATATATCAATTGGTACCGGTAGTCATATACAAACATCTACATAAAATAAGTTAAATAAACTAAAGGGATGTGCAGGTGATCGTTTCGTCTAATATATTGGTCCTCAGACGAATTTTGACCTAAAACCTTCTATATGAATACAACCTTATGAAGAAAATGGAAAGCATATACCTTAGATGTACCTATAACTTATGAGATAAGGTAAGCCAAAACGATCTGCAGGTAAAAGTGGTATGTGCGTCATTTTCCTATAGGAGTTATAGGACAGCCTAACTTAGGAGAAACCTTTTAAACATCATACGAGTGAAGCCGTAAACGTTAAACGCTGGAAAGTTAGTACCGGTATGCTATAAAAAAATTTGTTCTTGATTACATTTTTCTACAGTATAACACAAATGTTACGTATTGTATTACAGTACTTTTCAGCAAGCGTTACGTATTGTTTGTAAAGAAATATTCACGGGTGCGAATGTTTGTGAAGCACGTGTTTTTGTTATAAAACACTCGAGGAATGCGTTACATAATAATAATAACAAGTTATGGAACTTATAGTGAGCATACATTACGAATGTGATACCTTGTCTTATTGTCAATTTGCTTTCATTTAGGTATCCTAATTCAAGTCATTACCCGTGTTCAGGTCAGACTAGAATATATTTGGCACAACCATATTTGTTGTGTTTCGTCGTGTGAGTGAGGTTACCGGATGCTCAATTACCCTCCCCTTCCCCAATCTCCCCAATTCCTGAATCCCCAACGATCCTCAAACTCCTAATCCCCAAAAGGCCGGTAACGCACTTGTAACACCTCTGATGTTCCAGGTGACCATGGGCGACGTCGATTGCTTACCATCAGGTGATCCGTCTGCTCGTTTACCGGCTTATTCCATAAAAAAAAAACAATCCTAACCCTCCCGCGGGAATCCTAATAATCTAATAACACATTTGAAAGAAACCGTTTCCAGGGATCCAGCTACCCAGGAGAAGGAACGGGGTGGTTTTTAGTCAGTAAGAATCTAAAACTCCCTCTGGCCTCATTCAAGCCGGGAGAAGTCATTGGATGATATTTCCCCTCAAAAAAATGTTTCTATCAAAATTGGGCCTTTTAAACTGCTTGTCACGCGTATTACGACAAACCCTGACTCTGACTATAAAAGGCTATTGGTAATTAAGTTGATTTGCAATATAAAATCTACAAGTATCCTTTTTCCTAAACTAATACGTAAGTAATATAACATAGTGTCTATATTCCTATGTTTTTATTTGAAACTAACCTTTATTATGGTATTGTAGGAGACGAAGACATAACAGTATTGTCTTGAAATACATTGTTTGTATTAGACTAAATATAGACCTATTGTTTCGGGATGACGCACCGTTTTAGGTCAATTTTCTTATAATATTGTTATGTAACCTTCCATATTACTAGATTCTTATATATTCTACCTATTACTTATTGTTAAGCACAAAAAATAATGTATAATTTAGTCTTTTTTTAAATAATCAACGACTGTAGCTGTACGGTCAATAATTTCCACGGCAAGTTAGGTACCTTATTGATTTGTTTACGTCCGTGTCACGTGCAGTAAGCGGTTGTATCAAAAATACTTGTCTATTTTAGGTATTCTGTCTTGTATGAAAATCTATTTCTGATTCTATTATATTTCAAATTGAATACAAAAGGAAGTGTTAGGATCTAAATAATAATAATAATTTATTGCGAGATTGCATGAAGTATAAAACTCGGAAATTAAAATTTTAATTAATAACTTCATCAATTATAAAAATACTATGTAGGCGATTTACATGTCAGGATTCCGTAAGAATAATTCCTTCAAGCATACCTCCAGAAGAAATCACCAATAGAAACACTAAAGAAGGGATTTGATACACAAACTAGCGAATTACAGAGATATACGCACTAAATACAGCACAAATATAAAGATCTTCAATAGAAGTAGATTTTAAGTACTTATTACGTTCTAAATCAGTGATATTTCTGCTCAAATAAAGCAATAGAGGAAATAAAATGAAATGGATGTTTCTCACGATAAGTAATAAATACAATAATAACAATGTACTAAGTGATTATGGTAATTAGTCAGGTGTGAGCAATTTAATAGAACATTTCAAAGAACCATTTGCAAGCAACATTGTTTCTTCGATTTTTGCGTCGTTTCTTTATCGAGTGTTGGAAGATCACAAATAATAAGATCACGCGTGTCTAGATCACAAATAAATACTGCTTGACTCAATGTATTGTAAACCGAGGGCTTAGGTAGGGCTCGTACACGAAACTGCGATGCGATACGATGCGAATTCGCAACGCAAAACAATTAAGATGCGAATTAAGTACTGCGATGCGATTTCGTGCGACAAGGCGACTCCCATGGTGACCATTCCTTCGACGACCGTCAACCGTATTTTAAATTGAAAACTAGGTCGTGACATGGATCGTAAAAAGAAGTGTGCACTTCTGTTATTGCTTAGGAGATACAGGAAAAAGAATCAAGAAGATTTTGTGATTTTGATGTGCGATGCGAATCAATTCGCAATTTCTTGCGATGCGTATAGGGAGCTCGCACATTTTTACGATGCGACGTCGCATCGCAGTTTTGTGTACGAGCTTGTTTTTCGTTAAAAATAATCGAAATAAGAGCGCATATCTACGATTACTTTTAACTCAAAACAAATTCGTTTTAAGCCCTCAGAACATGTAATACGGGAGGAAATGAATGAATTTCTCCATACATGTATTACATCACATTCAGACCTAGACGAGCAAGTCACCTGATCTGTAAGTGATCAGCGCCGCCCATATCGTTGACGTTCTTTTATGAGGCTCCGGTAACCCTACTGACAGGGCTAAACACAAGGCAAGTGTTATTTCATGCCAGTTTTATGTGAGGCCACGAAGGTAGCATCGTCTTAAGTTTAATTTCTTAATTTAAATCAATTATCCGTCAATTACATTACTTATTACAAATGATGCCAGATGAGATACAACAGAACCTTTTTTATAGGGGGAAAATCATCGAATGACTTCTCCCCGCCTTGGTGAGGCGAGATGGAATGACAGACTTTTACTGACTAAAAACCACTCCGTTCCTACTCCTGCACCGAGCCGGAGACCCGGTAAACGTTTACGTTCTCCGCGGCTCAGTATCGGCATCTATTGGGCTCCATCCGTGGTTGTCCGATGCGCCGTACGCTTACGTATAATATAACCTCAGAGTAACAAATACATACATATAACATTAACTATAACCATATGCGTAATACTTACAGGTAACTGCTGGAAGTCTCCAAGTGGTGGTCCAGTGTCAATTTGCTTCTGACTCCTTGGCGTTACAATCTGTGGCGCGATATTCTCGTGAAGGTTTGAAGCAATTATTCGGTTCAGCAGCTGACCTAGAAAACAATGATGAATGATAAGTATTGCGATAGTTAAGGATGTTTCCTTATTTATTAAGACATCGTTTCAATTGTCAATTTTAATATATACGTATTTATGCATAGTAGATACCTCAATAGGTATGAGTTAGTTTAATATTGATATAAAAGTACGTTATTCGTTTACAATCCGCTTGGCGGAAAGTTTGATACCGATTTCCATTAGCCTTTTTATGTAGCCTTTAGCCTTTGGATGACCCATCGTCGATATCGTTTGGGTAGACTTCAGTATATTCATTTATTCCGAAATTGCTGAGTAATTTATGCTAGTCACCGATATAAAAAAACGATTTAAGTAGGAATTGATTGTACTACAAAGTCATGGCAATCAGTGCAGTACCTACATACGCCTACTCAGAACCTAGGTAGGTACATATCAAATTCTTCTGTATTTATGTATGTTACCTATAAATGACCAAACCGATAAATAAAAATACTAGGTACTTTAGGCTTACTATGGATTACTTACTTATTTTATCTATGGATTGGCCACATCCATTACTTAGTAAGAATTGGATCTGTTAGTTTGTATAAAAAAGCATTTTAATTTGTTTACAGATCATACTCTCAAGGCTATTGTAAATCATCTTCATCAATCTGTAATCTCATTTCTTTCTTTGAAACAATTGGACAGCCAGTTTAAATAATTGTTATTTTTAATGAACCAGAAGCAATAAAAACTTGTTTGCGAAAAAATAAACTCGATTTTCCTTTCCCTTGTGATTGTGTTTAATTAACGATTTACTTGTTGTTTTAGTTTAGCGCACACCACGTTTATTATACGTATAATTTGTTTGTAAATAAAAAAAATGTTGTAAATATGTAAGGCATATATATATGTATCTTCTAAACGGCACCAAAGATTTGTATATTATTTCTCTTGAAGGGGGGGGGGGGGGGATCACCCAATGACTTCTCCCGTCCAGGTGAGGCGAAAGGGAGTGTCAGACTCTTACTGACTATAAACCACCTACGAGGTGGTTGGAGGTAGGAACGATCCTACTCCTGCCCTTTGCACCAGAGCCCCGGCAACCCATTAAGTCCTCCGCAGCCCAAGCTGCACGAAAAGTGCTAGGCACAGATTTAGACGACACTCAAACTTCGTCATTTTACCAACGGTCCAAAGGACTAGAGATTCCCAAATTCTTACGCAGTTGCCTCACTATATAAAGTTTAATATGATTGGGTGTTTAGTGCATTATAGCGTAGCATAACGTATACATAAGTAGCGCATCGCGATAAGGAACAACCTGAGTAATCTTAAAGTCCCTGGTACCTGAATACGTTTAAAACAAGATTTCATAACATAGTATATACACCATTACAGTCATTCTATACTGCACGTTTACATGAACGAGACCTAGTACCTAGATACAAAACAATTATTTTATACTGAAGTAAAATAAAAACACATTTTGAAACGTAAACCCTTGGGAATAAAGGTGAAAATCTCTCTATAAGACAAACACAAGAAACTTATCTTAAATCAAAGAAAAATAAACCATTTCTGTTGGAAATTGAAACGTATTCCTTTTGTTTTACAGTTGACAATCGATGGAATGGGGTACAACCGTGACCATGGTTAACAACTTCAGTGTTACGTCTTTGCATCAACGCTTTTAAAACTTAGTGTTGAAACGTGAATGCGAACGTGCGGAATATTAATAATAGGTAGTTCTACTTTTATCGAATCAAATTTCAGATTAGTGAGATATTCTACCTAGTCGTTAAGTGTAACCACTTCACTGTTAGCTATAGATTACGTCTGTACCAATTTCTCTATCATCTGGCAACTACAAACTCGTACACAATCACCTGATAACATAACATAACATCACGCCTTTAAAACGTGACAGAAAACAAACAGATTACAGCTACAAATAAGATGGATCAAATTACGAAAGTCTACTTGTAAATCGATTTAAATCCACTTTATCTTGACACAAGAGTAATTAGTGACGGCATAAGAAGGTTGTATAAGGAATAAAGTCGGCTTACATCACCTACATAACTTCGGATGTTATGGATTTTTCCATTCATAACATTGAGTCTGTTAAAAACCTCTTTACTGTTAAGACAAAGGTTTACCATTTAACGTACACAATTTTACGGAATAAAGTAAACTTGTACATTACTCATTTTTGTTTCATAACTATCGTGTCATGATATATATTAAGTTAATTTAGTTGTACGATCTGATCAGAGGCCTTTAGAGTATGCGTTGGGCGCTCTGATTGGCCGGCTCCAATGAACCGACCAATCAGAGCGCCGAACAGTCTCGTTTCCATTACTTTAAGCGTAAAACAAACTCGTACGAAGCCCTCAGTTGATTGTTCGACTGACTCGACTCGTTTCAACCCTCGTCGGGGGCTCATAATCCTAACCTGCATGCAAAACTATTTAAGCCGCTGGCTCACGCATGCTGGTTCATTAGGAGCGTGACTTTTTGTTAATTTGCAACCAGTTTTAGAATCTTTAGATATCATTTTGACCTTTATAGTATCGGTAACAAGTTTTGAATCGATAACCAATTTGGAATGCAAAAAATCCTATAGAAACATTGAACAACTCCTTAGGTATGTCATGGCAGAAAATATAAATAAAATTGAACTTACCTTTTTCTACTACAGGCTTATAGAAAAGCGAAGAGTAGGAGAAGTTGTTTCTTAAATGCTTGGTTAAATTCGCTGGCTGTCTACCACGTAGGAGTACCGCATCCAACTCAGTGTAGTAAGGTAGTAGCTTGTGGTTGAATTCCAATCTCAAAATCCTGTTACAAAAAAAAATTGCGATAATTGTTTTTTTTTTCAAACGTTAATGTATAATCTATAATTTTCTGCGTTAACTGGCATGCTGGTTTTACAAAAAATAGACAGATAATAAATTAATGAAAGTGTTTTAACACCTATTTTGATTATCTAATCGAAACCATCTATTTTTTACTACGAAAACATTTCAATATTTTAAGGAATCTTCCCAGTTCCAGTGTTATATTCCAACACGTGATATTTCGGAAGCCAAAGTCAATCCGATATGAAACACGAGATCGGAAGTCAGTTATCGAAGAGACGCCTAGGTCAAGTTTCGTCATTCTAGTCGTATTAAGCGACACATGATCAAAATGAGGTCATTGATGGGATGTTGGGGACAAACAGACCTAATATTTATTAGTATTTGACACAAAAAATATAAGGAATCATAATATGATATTTGCAAGACAGAAATAGTTTCTAACTCCATTCTTTTTAATAGTGAGATAGCTCTTTAAGTGTGGGAGAGCCATGCTTCGGCACAAATGGGCCGGCTCGACCGGAGTGATACCACGGTCTCACAGAAAACGGACGTGAAGCAACGCTTGCATTGTGTTTCGTTGTGTGAGTGAGGTTACCGGAGGCCCAATTCCCCTTCCCCAATCTCCCCAATTCCTGAATTCTCAACGATCCTTAAACTCCTAATTCCCCAAAAGGCCGGTAACGCACTTGTAACGCCTCTGGTGTTCCAGGTGTCCGTGGGCGACGCCGATTGCTTACGATCAGGTGATCCGTCTGCTCGTTTACCGGCTTATGCCATAAAAAAAGCTCGTAATTTGTCTAGTCAACATGTTCGTTTCTTTTTATCAACTCTTGCAGTATCAAAAAATTATGATTGAGTTTGTCATTCAATTCAGCCAGAACTGAATGTATAAGAATGTATAACTTTCAAAAAGTTTCCAATGTTCTAAAAAAATATTGACATAGACTGTGACGACCAAACCTAATATATTATAATATTTATTATAATAACTGAAATATTTTATGCACATAATAAATGGTGGCACAAAAATGAATTCATATCGAGTAACTTCCACGTGCAATATCGAAATCTAAATGTACAAATAAAAGGTAACATGACTTACAAAAACGTGACTTCAGTACGTATTCTCGAAGTATTGGAACGTGGAAAATTTTACTCAGGGAAAACCATATGAAGTTCTAACGAAATTCTTCTAGGCTTTCTCTTTCAAACTGTTTACTTTTGTACAGCATAAAGGCGGCAACGAAATCACGTGTTTACAAGTTTTATGGAATATTTATTATTTGTAGGACCGTAGGTAGAGAGAACGCCCTAGGACGTATGTCAATCAAAGAGGTAACAGCGAATAACATCCCTCTTTTTGTGTCGGGTTGTAAAATGTTTCAAATCAAAAAATCAATCTTTAAATAAAAAAAGAAGTACCAAGTTTTTTTTAATATTACCCTACACTAGGATTTTCTCCTGTCTTTTAAGGAGGCCATACACGCTAGATTTTGCATGATGGTTTTAACCGACAGGCAAGCCCTAGCGTGTATGTGACTAACTGTACAGTTATCGGTGCATGTACATGCAAAACCTAACGTGTATGTGTGGTATGAAACTCGGTTATGCTTGTCGGTTTTGCATGCAAAGTTATAACCATCATGCATAACCTAGCGTGTATGGCCCCCTATAGGTGCGTTTACAACGATACAAGTTTACATACAGATGACACCCAGACCCGCAACAATAATTTGTGGATCACAGAAAGAACTCCGTGTGCGAATAGAGCCTGCGACACGTTGCGCGGCAGCCAGTTGCCCAGCCACCGCACCAACCGAGTGAGAAAGGTATGCAAAAATCGTGACATTTGGGTTCTATGCATAATACGAGTGCCCATCATAGTTAGAAAAAAAATTATGTCATTAATTTCCACAAAGTACTCATTGTTAGAGATGCAACGAATAATTGTTTGGCCGAATACCGGATACCGGATATTCGGCCTGACCACCAGCCGAATATTCGGCCAGCAGTGTGATACCTACATTTTGAGTTTCGTAGAGGCGTGTCGCGTACCTACCGCCAAGCCACTCGCCGTGCAGGTTTTGATTTGTTATTATAAAAAGTTAAAATTGTTTAAAATAATAAAAAGATTCAATTACGTACAACTGTGTCTTTATTTAGATTTCATTTATAAAATCTACCAAGTTTACTATCCGGTATCCAGCCGGATAGTACCTACATTACCATCCGGTATTCGGTCGGATAGTAAGTAACGGCCGGATAAGCCGGATACCGGATAGTAACTGAATATTCGGTGCATCTCTACCATTATCACATTTTATCTAAACTACAACAAATAACTATTTCTATACAAACAAAAGCCGGATAAAATAAAAGATGACCGATTATATTATCACTTCAGATAAAGAAAGAAAACAAAAGACTCACCGTGTTGGAACATTGATTTGCCTTATCGGAGGGCTGAATATCCTCGGTGTGTCTCCCACATACTCCGGTTCTCCTTCCCATAGTAACATCCAGGCTGTAGGACCCAGTGCCCAAATGCGGACCAGCGCTCCAGGGTTATAGGTCTCGAAGATCGACACCTCCAGTGGGTAGACTGCTTTTTCGAAGGACACTTCTGCCAAAAGTTTTATTTTTTGTAATTGGTTCTTGTACATTGGGGTTAAGTTTATGATAATGTAAAAATTTTACACAGAATTAGGTAAATAGACATATCATTACTTATATGTGTACAGTTGATGCTGAAAATCAGTGTCGTGTAACCAATCGTGCCCGGGCCACTGCTTATAGCTGAGCACAGGCCTTATTGCAGTAATGATGACAATTATTTATATTTTGTTTATATGTAATTGAATTGTTTGCCAGTGCTGTTTTTCTTTATTTATTTCTATGCTGTTTAACATTAGTGTGTGTGTTACACTGTGATACATAATTGTATTGGATATTAGTCTTGTATTTGTCTTTTAGTGATAAATTATAAAATTACACTGGTTATGCTGCATGATTTTGGATTTCACTCAATACCTAGTCATGTACTAGAATAGAAAAATATTAAAGAATTTTAAAAAAGCTTTACTTGTTACCTAGCACCTAAATTGGTTATTTTAAAAACAAAATTATGTTAAGATTTATAATTGATTAATGCCTTATTGGTTCAGTGGTCGCAAAAGCAACGCCGTACAAGGAGTTTGGAATTTGACAAAGTTATGGGGTGTTTTGGTTTTTTACCGACTTAAAAAAAAAACTATGTTCGGCTGATTGTGAACTGATTTCCAAAATTCTTGTTTTGTTTGAAAGGGTATACTTCCGAGATGGTCCCATTTCCATGAGCTCAGGATCTGATGATGGTATACTAGGGAAACCGAAGGGAACTTTCGAAAATTCTAGGGGCAAGTAATGAGTCGATTATGTTTTTCAATTAGGGTTTTTAAACACTACAAATTTAAACTGTCAAACACCACGAGGACACCGGTGACCGCAACCTATTGTTCTTTAATTGTGTCTATAATGACGGTACTCAAAGGGTTAATAAGGATCTGGAGTCGACCTGATGATGGAGCCGACAGACAGTCGAGAGAACTCCTCAGCGGTTTATATTAACTACCTTATGTTTGGGCTTGATAAATTTGTATTGATGAGGACTTTACACCTACATAGATAGAGTGTTTCTGTCATTAAGGGTCTGATGATGAAGAAGTGTAATTGTTAAGGGAACTCCTCAACTGTATACAGTAACTGCCTTGTGTTTGGGCTTGATTAATTTGTATTGATGCCGACTTCTAACCTATCAGTGGGTGGGTAGCCTATCAGTACTAATGATAGTTATTTTTTGCTTTTTAGTTTTGACTTTTTTTTTGTTATTAGTTTTTGGTATTTTGAAGTCGGTTTTTTATTAGGTACTTTTACAAATAGCATGTAGTATGAAATTATACTAAGTATCAATAATTTTTAAGTTTCATTACCCAAGATATGGTGAAAAGGGGGTGTTCAATGTTATTTGATAAAGCTTTAGTGTAAACTTACCAACGAAATCCTGACTAGTGATTGCACTAGCATTTTGTGGCATATAATCCTTCTGCGCTGAAGGGGCTTCTTCCCACCAAGTCCCGTAGGTCCTCTAAAAAAATAAGATACTTTAATAATCAAACACTAGCAATAGCCTACATTTAGAACAAACAAAATAACATAATTTAAATTAGGAAAAATTATTGATTAAACTGTCAAACACCAAGCGGTCACCGGTGACCGCAACCTATTGTTCTTTAATTGTGTCTATAAATACAGTACTCAACGAGTTAAAGAATAAACATGACTTAAAAGTTGAACCAAGAAGAGTAGGGCTCTGATCATTAGTATTGGTATTTATTATCAACTGATACTCATGTAAATAACAATACAATAATAACTATTTTTAACACATTCACAGTTACAATAAAAAAAAAATGATTAATTTTTTCTTTGTGTAGCAGGCAAATTTAAATTAAAAAAGAATTCTTAATTAAAAAAAAGAAATCAATAAAAATGGCCAGTGACATTTTAATTTCAAGGCTTTAAAAGTTATTAAGGCCTTGATAAAGTGTATAGCTGTTTTGTTTACTTTTAATAACACAATCATATCCCTTCACATGTGAAAGAAAATGGTTAGTTTGAATAAATTGCTTTATTAATAGAATGCCCTTGATTTTTATTTGCATCAGGAAGTATGCAGAGCAGTCTTTATCTTATTACAATGGTGTAATATAAAAGTTATAATAGTTGTTTATGGGCATGGTATTTTTTTTATTCTATTTTGAATTCATGTTATCATGAATGTTCTGCCTACTTTACCTGTATAAAAATATTTAATTAATATTATAGTATGATTTTAGATAAGTTGATAAAGCTCAAGCACAAAATATAATAATAAAGTTAAAAATATATATAAAAGGTTGTAACTAAATGTTTTATTGGCAATAAAAATATTGAACATATTTACCATTCTGATACTTTGTCTCTTGCATTGAAAATGCATCATTTTATTTAAATATAACACATAACATTTGTAAGATCAACCAAAGCCCACAAACACTATTAATATGAAGGTGGAGAGATGTACAGCACTGTATCTATTACTGTTGCAAAATAAATTAACAAAACCCTTAGCAATGCCCTTCCTAAATTCAGGTAAAATTTTTAAACAATGTACATAAGCCATTCAGCCATTAGGGTCTAGTTACAGCTTTTAGTTAATTCTTTCATTAGTTCTTAAGCCATTTAAATTTGAAATCTGATAACAATAGTAAATAGTAAATGACTAACAATCTTTGTTAATTATTATAAATGCAAAATAGTAATTAAAATAATTTAATGACTATCATTTTGAACATAAGTAGCTAAAGAGTATGGTAGACAATGGGAGCAAATAGTGAGAAAATGTTTTTTTTTTATTATTTACTTCTGATGGAATATTATGTAAATGTGTGAGTAGCCTTTCCAAAGGTATTATTATGCAGCATATAATTGATATTATAATGTATATGGAAAACAAAACATATAGGTAAGTACCAAATTGTTATTACAATGGCATGTGTTTGGGACTTAGGGAAAATAGAAAAAATACCACATGTAAACAAACAAATTAACTTATCTGAATTTTAATTACTTATACTTAATTTACAACAAAAATTAGTGGATATCTATTTTTTTATGAAATATCTGGTCACAATTACCTTTATTGTGTGAAATATCCAATTAATTTAATTGGCATTTTTGTTTTCATAAAAATGTCAAGATAAGAAGTCCTGGCTAGTTTACACGAGTCACAAAGGACAAAAATACGCGGCAAAACAATGATGCTTATATATAAAACGTAGTGATAGATACGTCCAAGACTTAACTTAGAAAAAATGTGAAAAAATAGCACATGTAATACAAAAGTAGCTATTACTTTTACCATAACGAAGGCTTGGGGATAGTCGCCGTAGTCAGGAAAATTAGAGGGCGGTCCACGAAGATTAAATGCAGTATATGAAACACTGATTTCACTGCCATACTGGGAACTAAAATCTTCAACATTGTGCACAAACTGTTCCAGTATCAGATAATCTTTATCTTCTTCTTCACTCTCATTTTTAAACCAAAACAAAGAGGATATTATATCTGAGTTTTGCATTTTGAATTATTCTTTATTCAACTCAGAATTTAATGAAAAAAATTAACACGAACGGTAATAACAAAGATGCGCGCTCGAATGAATAGAAATGAATGTTATTTTTTCTGACAGCTGACAAAAACAACACAAACATAACCATAGAATATACTAAACTGATAAACGTAAACAAGTTTGTCTGCAATTTGCTACTATATTATTATTTTCAAATCACTGTGTTTATATTTATTGTAATCATTAATTTATTGCAAGATCTCTTCTTATGTATTTGCAAATCAGAACGAGATTAAAATAGCTACAGATAGTCGTTTATCACGGAGAGTCAACTAATATAAAGCAAATGCACTATTTAGGGAAATGGAGGTCATAAATAGCTATTACAAGTTATAAGTACAATACGAACAATGGGACCAATTCATTTATAATTTCCAATTACTATAAGAATAAATGCCACAAAAATGCAGAATACCACAAAGACACAAACCATAGACGAAATCTGTCCGACTGTGAGAATATCAGCAGTGCTTTTTTATAATCTGTAATATGATGAATGTCATTTTCATTGCTACTGTCATGGTTGACGTGACGCTTGTCAATAAAAATGGCAGCGGGACCAATCGCCGAACGTAATCAAGGTATTTATTTATACAATTTCTTGTCCAAACCGGCGTAACTACTAATATAATTTACAGTGTTATTGTCAATTTAATAAATAATTTCATTTCCGATTGTTTACTTCCAAATAATACGAAGTAAAAGTTTTTGAGGTTAAGTATCGCGTCTACGACCTCTTTTACGCGGCTATCGGGCTGTAATTTAAAGTGTTACTTGCTTTTAATTAAAACTACAACTAGTGATTAGTTTTGTCACAGAATGCAATCACTTTATCATAATTCTGTACGCAATTTTATTGTTATTTTTCAGATGCCACAATATACGTTGGCGGTCTTGACGACAGAGTTACTGAAAGTTTGCTATGGGAACTATTCGTACAAGCCGGACCCGTGGGTATGTATATATATACCTTATAACATCTAATAATTGTATTTTATTTGTTTTTTTTTATATTAAATGGGCCGACGTTTTGAGCACTATCAATACGAATATTGTTAGCAATGTTGTTCATTGGCTTAGACGGCAATTCTAATTTGAAAATTGATTTTAGGTCATTGATAACAATATTGTATACATTTCAACACCAAGCCGTTAGCTTAGTGTTGGTTATTTATGCCTTTAAAACCAGCATTCTTATTCCTTAACTTCTACAATTCTATTTTCATTGCAAAATCATGATGTTTAAATGTTTTCTCTCATTTTACAGTGAATGTCCACATGCCAAAAGACAGAGTGACACAAACTCATCAAGGATATGGATTTGTTGAGTTCATGGGTGAGGAGGATGCAGATTATGCCATAAAGGTAAATACTTTGAAGATAATACATAGATAAAACTGACAACTCCATGACCATGATCCGGGAAAATTATATCATTTATAGGCCTTAGCAAAGTAGTCACAGTGTTTCGCAGTTGCGAATACACTTCAGAATCCTCACAAATATAAGCTCATACTATTCATCAACCTGCATCTATCCACTGCTGATATGGCCTTGACCAATAGCACTCAACTTGTTCATCTTGATAGCTAATACCCTATGATTATACCATCACCCTAGTCCCTAGATATTCCCTTAATATTGTATGAAAATCCCTGAAATTTATTCATACAAATGTAGTCTCTAATCATCGGAAATAAGGTCTATAATAGAGTTAGGGAAGAGTGGTCACCGGTGACCATTTGGGGATTGAGCAGTTAAATATGTAGTAGATAACTTATATCCACTGACATTGCTATTGCAGACTAATACCAAATCAATTCAATATTTCTTATTAAAATTCCAGGTGATGAATATGATAAAGCTGTATGGTAAACCGGTGAGGGTGAATAAAGCATCAGCTCATCAGAAGAACTTAGATGTGGGTGCCAATGTGTTCATAGGAAACTTGGATCCAGAAGTCGATGAGAAGCTCCTATATGATACATTCTCTGCATTTGGAGTTATATTACAGACACCTAAGGTATGTTTTTGTACTGTATTTACAATCTATAGATCTGTATAAGTTGCCTAATACATGTACAGTGGCCAAGGTTGCATCACCTAATTGCTAATTATGCAAAAAAGTAGAGGACATACAACATTTACTAATGGAATGTGCTGGGAACAATAATGAAAGGGAATAATTAATTAGATAATATAAGTTGAATAAATTAGATTTTGGGCTAGTTCAAAACATTTTAGCAAATCCTAAAACGAAGATTGCAAAATGATTGTGTGAACTGGTGAGGGTGACGTAACTTTTCTGATATCTAGACCTTGGTAATGATTCCCATTCATTTACATAGATTATATTTAATTAGTAGAGGCATGATGGGGTTGACATATCGATATGAAGATACAATAAAGTTGAAGATTGCATAGTGAAATTTGACATATCACGAAAACTTGGATTGCCAGCTACCTTATACACCTTTATATCATAAGATCTTGGATTATGTATAATCTGTAACCTTCAACACAGTCTAGACTAGGCTCCATAGAAATAGCAATCTCAGTATTACTGCTGTAAGTTCTTAGTAAATTGTTACAACAACTTGCATGGTATACTTGAGCTGTAAGACCTTAATACTTCTCGAAAATCACCAGTATCTATTTAATCATTTCAACTTATTCACAACGGCTTCTTATGCAGAGACAAATGAACAACATCTTTAAATGTTACCAGCTACTTTCGCGCGGTTGCACTCGCTCTGCTCGGCTTCAATCGACCGTAGCGTGATGTTTTGTAGCCTATAACCTTCCTCTATAAATGGAATATCCAACACAAAAATAATTATCGAAATCAGACTGGTAGTTCCTGAGATTAATGCCTTTACACAAACAATGAAACAGACAAACTCTTCAGCTTTATATAGTAGTATAAGATATACTTAATCAATATTCATCTTTTACAGGTCATGAGAGATCCCGAGACTGGTAATTCAAAAGCCTTTGCGTTCATAAACTTTGCATCGTTCGAAGCATCAGATGCAGCTATAGAAGCTATGAATAACCAGTACCTATGTAACAGACCTATATCTGTGTCATATGCGTTCAAGAAGGATGTCAAAGGTGAAAGGCACGGATCTGCTGCTGAGAGGTATGTCTTTTTGATATGTTTTTATGGTCTTTTAATATGTTTTAACTTTACAAGTGACATTAAGAAATGAATAAATAAAAAAGTTATGCTATTTTTGAAGTGGCAGCTGATAAACAATGCTAATTCATGTTATGAGTGGAGATCATACAAATTAATGTTTAGTACTCCTTGCTGATGTATTTCAAATACTATTTCTAAGGTTCCATACATAAAGTTTAAAGTAAAATAAATTTAACATTCTACTTTCTGTGAGAAATGTTTCATGATTATTGTATGTTACTTTTCTGTACCTAATCAACAAATCTTTAAAGGTTACTCGCCGCCCAAAACCCACTATCGCACGCGGACCGTCCTCATCAACTGTTCGCGGACGCGCCACCCACAATGCTGGGTCCAGTTCTACTGGCGCCGCCGCCACCGCCAGCACCATCACCAATGCCACCGCAAGGACCTCCGATGAACGCGAGACCACCGCCACCACTGCCAATGTCCGCGCCACCACCACCCCCCTCATCCATGCCACCACCTGGACCTCCACCCCCTCCTGGACCCCCACCACCCCCTCCACCATTCCATCACTTCCCCCCTCCGCCATTCGGGCCCCCCGGTTTCGGACCCCCGCCTCCACCCGGAGCAAGACCCCCGCCACCATGGAGACCCCCTCCCCCTTCTTTCAGACCCCAATTCCCACCCCGTGGTCCACCACCATTTGGACATCCCCCGTTCCCCCCACACCCGCCTGAACCAAATTATAATTATTAAGTGTAATTAACTAGTGTAATTCGTGACTGTTTTCTATTTTTCCTGTTTGAAATGGAGAATAAATATATTTTACAAAAGCTATTGTAAGGAAATGTGTGTTTATGATTTACTTTAGTTTTTACCTATGTTATTTTCGTAAATTAAATCTAACACGAACTATGTTGGTATCCAATAAGCAGGCAGGTTGTAAGCTTGGCCTGCCATCTATTGAGATGGACATATTAACTAAACACAGCCATTTACAAAACCGTTCTCAACTAGAAAAAAGTGGGAAAACCTAACCCATAATTTATTATTACAGTTAAGTTAGCTCTTAGAGAAGAATGAACGCCGTGATTCTACGCAAATACCAAACGATTACCCCATAAGCGACCCTAAAGGTACAAAACATCACAACAAACAACGCGATTTAATTCAAATATATTCAAAGTCATTGAAGCATAAACAAAATTCACACATGAAGCGAAGTTAATCGGAAATTCAGTGGACTGTTTAGTAAAGAACAGTTCACGACTCACGAAATATGTACCTACCGACGTTGCTAACCTACCTATATTTTGCTGAACTTCGTTTTGCTAACGGAAATATCGAAGAGACGGGATCGGTACGGTAGAATAGACTGACTACCTGCCTATCTATCTACACTTGGGAGCATAAAAACGAATCCACTAGCATATTTTTTTGTCATTTTATCGAATTTTTTTTTAAATATACTAATTCGAAATACGAATATGCTCTCATCAGCAGTAGCAGTAATTACCTACTACTTACAGTCGCCGCTTCGCGGGTCGCGGAATGCAGCTCATGAATATGACACTAACATGGCTTGAAACTAGTCGAGTCCCTCATCGAATAATTACGTGTGTTAGCCGAAAAATGTAATCCATACGATTGATGTTTGCCACAAATACCAAACAACAATTTAAGTCCCGAACATCGATGTGTAGCAAACCTGTGGATACATCGCAAACTGTTTGCCGAACAGTAGCGAACACAAACAGGAACAGGCAAACACAAACACCCATCCACATGTAGGTGTTTGTTGTTTGGTGTTTGCCATTGTTTGCGTATGGACGGGGCTTAATAGTTAAAACATGGTCTCATTTTTAATAGGCAACTAACTAAATTGCCTTTTATACGACAAAAGTATGACAATTAATAGAATATTTGTATCAGAAAATATTTATCAAGAAATAAAAAAGAATAAGTGCTAGTGGCTCCGTTTATTTGCTCCCAAGTGCATAACTAGTGTAGGTAGTGTAGGTGTAGTATAGAATAGATGTTCGGGTGGGATTCTAGGATTCTATCATAAGTCAGAAGAAAAGATTGACAGTAGATAATGTCGTTTCTATTTTTAACCGACTTCCCAAAAAATGAGGTACACAATGCATCGGTATGTTTCTTTAGTCTAGCACGAGTCCGACTGCCAAGCTATAATAGCAGGGCAGGGAAGGTTCGAATCCCTGGTCTAGAACGGGTTCTTTCGAGGCCAGACCACGTGCTCGCACTCGACATATTGACAACGTTAGATACGATATAATTTTACGACAGTTACGTCCGAATACTAAAAGGTTAGGTACCTACCTACTAAATTGTTTTTATGGAATAGGGGTGTTTTTAATATCGTGCGGATTTCGTCACGCGTGCGGGATTGCCCCGCATGCGTAAGCCCCGCAAATGTCCTTTTCATAAAAGTATTTATTATAATGCGTGGAATACGGACGCGGGACGCGGGGGCAGCAGCACCGCGCGGGGCCTGCATGCGGGGCAATACCGCACGCGTGACGAAATCCGCACGATATTAAAAACACCCTAGGTGGCAAACGAGCAGACGGATCACCTGATGGTAAGCGATCAGCGCCGCCCATGGACACCCGCAACACCAGAGGAGTCACAGGTGCGTTGCCGGCCTTTTAAAACGGAGTATGCGCTTTTCTTGAACTAAATGTCGTGCAATCTCTGTCATTTTACAAAGAATTTGTAGTGACAGAAGTATTTATATTTAAGCTCGACTTAAAATCAAGTGGAGTTTGAGCACGGTATTAATTTTTTTTATAATTTCAGCGTTAGGCAACAAAATTGAGCCGCGGAATGCTAACGGGTTATCAGGGCTCCGGCTCGAAGAGAAGGAGTAGGAACGAGATTGTTTTTTAGTCAGTAAGACTCCCTCTTGCCTAACCCAAGGCGGGAGAAGTCATTGGATGACTGTCCCCCCTCAAAAAAAGGGTAACAAAATTACTATATACCTACCCATATCTATATCTATATAAAACATAACGAGGTTGTTACAATATTGCATACGTAAGCTATCGTATCGTATGCTTCTGGCATATTCTTATTGAAAGCGCCCGGTATCGACAAACTGGACGCTCGGACGTTCGATTATATAAATACTAGTAGTTGCCTACAACGTTGCCTACGCTACTAAGAAATGGCAAAATTGTTGATTTAGAAACATCTTTTCTACAAATCTAAATAATCATAGCCAGATACTATTTTAGCGATTAATTATCTACTTAAACACGAAGGGAGGTAGAATAAAATTAGATTGTCACGCACTATGAAGTTCTAGGTTTAAAAATATAGATTCAGTAGATAATTTGCCACTTATGTGATTTTAGGGTGTTAGGAACTTATCTACTTGGGCTCGCTGCCATTGCAGCGGTAATTCCCCTCTTTGAGGAGTGGCTTGAGAGACGCTACGGCGCGGCGTCCTCACCTACCGCCTGACGCAGACATCTCGTGTCCGGCCCTAGTGCGGGTCATGATGCGGAGCGAGGGGGACTGGGTTACCGTCTCCTCCTTTTGCGAAGCAGTCATGCTAGCTAAGAAGGAGGCGGGACGCGTGAGGCACCAAAGCGCTGCCTCCTCGCAACCAAGTCATCGCGAAGGACACTCCGGGCGTCGGGGATCGCGGGACGGTCTCCGGCCATCGTGAGCGCGGGCCTGCGGACGGCGAGCATGGATGGCTCTCCGTCCGACCAGAACCAGACGCCAGCGTACGGCGCGTCGCGTTCAAAGAGCCATCAGACCACCACGGATGGGACCCAACAGGGCTGATGCCGATTCGGAGTCGCGGAGAACCTAACGGGTTACCGGGGCTCCGGCTCGATGTGCAGGAGAAGGAACGCGGTGGTTTTTAGTCAGTAAGAGTCTGACACTTCCTCCCGCCCCACCCAGGCGGGAGCAGTCATTCGATGATGTGCACCCCTTAAAAAAGGGGACTTATCTACTTGGTACTGAGTTATCCGTTTCCAGTAAAAATAGTTGGTACCTATTATAGCTGATAAAAGACTTTCAATCCATGATATCACCATCCAATCGAATCAAAGCCATATTTTTCAAACAAACAGATAACATTCCCATTAAAATTGTTAGTAGCTACGGATATTGTATCGCTAAGCATTTTGCATTTTCCTTGCAAGACAAGTGCAGTAAAGAAGCAATTATTTGTAGACGCAGTAAGAAGTCCTTTTGTTTTGTATTTATTTCGGTATTGAAGGAGATTTTATTGTAAAAATTGAACAGAAATTTTTGTATGGAGCACAATATATTTAGTCCTTTTGGTGAGTTTTGGGATACTAGATACCTAAGTACCTAGATAGATACGTACGGTAGACATCTGTCTACGTAACCTAGAATTACCTAAAATCATTTGCACAGGGGGGTGGGTAATGGGCTGAAAATTTCGCAGTCTCCCTAATTTTTATCCAAAAACACTAGGCTTCTTTTGAAGTTTTCTTGGGTAACCAAAAAAGACCTAACGTTCTATGATGCATACAAGTAAAAATTACCTAATGTTGCTTTAATATGTAGCGAGAATAAGATCATCTTCGATTTAGGTAACTATCTTCCTATTTATTCCACTTATTAATTAGGTGGAGCATCTGTCCATAAATGAACAAACAATTAATTCAACAACAACATAACTACTTAACTGGATAACAAACTACAAAATTTCATCAACAAAAATGACCTATGCCATCAAATTGCGAGTTAAATCTGACGTGCAGTGTACCGCGCTCTGCGATAATAGTCCGCCAACGATCACATGGATTAGGTAAAGGATGAAGTGTTAATATTATCAAGATTAAAGCCATGTATAACCATTTAGACTAAAAACAATTGTAATGGGCGTGGCTCTAAAAGCAGTTGCAATGCTGTGAGACCCTAGGCGGTGCTAATCGCTTACCAAGTCTGTTTTGTTTACTATTTTATAAAATAAATATAAAAGGTAGACCATAATTATTAATTACATGTCACAAAGCCAAGAGTTTAAGTTGTCTTGGTACATAGGCTATGCTCAATCTTCAATTACCTACATGGACTCCATAAGCGGGTGTTACACGTTATACCGATATGGAGCCGCAGAGAACGTAAAAGGTTACCGGCGCTCCAGCTCGAAATGCAGGAGTAGGAACGGGGTAGTTTTTAGTCAGTAAGAGTCGGACACTCCCTCCCGCCTCACCCAGGCTGAAAAAGCCATTCGATGATTTACCCCTGTTATGCGTTATGCAATCATTCAGGGAAAAACAGCTATTACTAAACTAGAAAAAGTATGCGTCATCCATTAATCCATACGCCATGTCTGATAAGGATTAAAAACATCGTTAAGTCCGAAAATGAAACACAAATATTTGTATCATTCGTTACGCGTATGTTTCACGAGGATTATAGTTGGAATTAATAAGCTTTCCTCTGTTGTTTTAGGTCCGAATATTACAGAACGTTATTTTAGTCGTAGATATAAAGTTTTATTTATATTCCTGAGGTTTCGATTCGGTTCGGAAAATATCGATGGATTGATTGGTTTGGTTTTTATTAGTATAAAGTTTAGAATAAACTGCCTACCTAATCATGTTTAACGGCTTAACTCTTTGAGTACCGTCATTATAGACACAATTAAAGAACAATAAGTTGCGGTCACCGGTGTCCTCGCGGTGTTTGACAGTTTAATCACTGTTTGATAAGGTAGCTCGATTGGTTTCAAGCTACGTAAG